AATCTTTGATATAATTTTTCTCTTGATTTAATTCCTTCTTATAGGTATCTTATTATATGATAGAACTAGGAATTCTCTTTGTTAAACCAGTAGCTTGAGAGGTATATCCATTTCTTTACGTGGTATGTCATGAAAAAGGGAAATCTTAGTTATGGAAGTCTTTTCAAAAATATCTTTTCTTTGAGTCCTTCTTTGAAATTCATCAAGAAATGGTCCAGTCAGTAAAATTACAACTAAAGAAAAAACTTTAAGAAGAAACAGTAAGACTGTTTTGCTAGTCTGTTACAATAAGGTATATTAAAAGTACTTGATTTACTTGCAGATTGGCCGCCTCCAAGATCTGGTAAGGAAAGGTGAACAAGGTCTTGGCTCTGCAGAAGGACTTATTGCGAGTCTTCAGGACTCCCAAGAAAGGCTTCAGAATGAGCTTGACTTGACTAAAGGCAGGCTAAAGGAGACCAAGGATGCTCTACTAAATGTGGAGGTAATTTCATAATTCTACTGTAATCCAAACATCAGCAAAATAAAAGTATAATTTAGCCACTTAGCTTAAAGCTATTTAAACATTACGTTGTATATAATTAGTGTATTAGTTTCTAGAGCTACTATAATAAAGTACTATACACTAGATGACTCAAAAACAACCGAAATTTATTCTTTCACAGTTCTGAAGACTAGAAGTCCAAAATCAAGGTGTTGGCAGGGCCATGCTCCTACTTAAAACTGTAAGGGAGGATTCTTCCTTGCCTTTCCAGCTTTTGGTAGCCCTAGGCATTCCTTGTCATTGGGCAGCACAATTTCAGTCTCTGCCTGTCTGCACGTCATCCGCCATCTTGAAGGACACCAGTTGTATTGGGTCAGGGGCTCACCCTACTCCAGTTTGACATCATTCACTAAATACATTTGTACTGACCCTATTTCCAAATATGGTAACATTCTGAGGAAGGGTGGGGGGGTTAGCACTGCATCATATCTTTTGGGAGACTCAATTTAACCCATATCAATTACAATGTGCAGTTCTTTTACTGGTAAGAGTTGGAACTTTCACACACAGCAACTAGGTACTTCTCTGTGATCTACAAATTTCAGAAAGACCCTGCCTTTTCCCTTCCATTCATTCTTACGAAGCACAGCAAAGATTTAGACGGCCTTAAACACTAGAGAAAAGAATCCATAAAACTGAGGGGATAGCATCCAGGTAGTTTTTCTTAACCTTTTCCTTCAAAGAGATGATTTAGAGTGTAGGCTCGGAGTCAGTTGGTTGTATGTGAATTCTGGATCTAATACTTAGTGTGAA